TTTCTTCTGTATCTGAAATACTTAAAGCAGCGCACTAGAAACTTAATTCTAAAGGAAGCTTTCTGAATACCTTTATTCATAGCTGCGTTGTAGTCAAGGGCAATTCAATTTCATTATTTTAATTATCTCATGACATCTCCTATTCGGGTGCTTACCGGTGCTTTTGTGTGGGCCCTGGCTACCTCGTCTGGACCTTTGAATTTGCTTGTCAATAAAGTCCCGTGAGAGGCACAAGGATGCTGATCAGTACGCGGAGCGAAGAAGTCTGAGTTGAAACAATATGAATGGCATAAGTTATGAGGTCCGCAAGAGATTATAATGACATTTTGATGCTTTATTGAGAGTCAAGTAAATGAGCAGCAACAAAATACTTAAAAGATAATATTGAGGATATCGGTATAAATAAGCAGGGATATTTTGTGCACGATTCTGAATGCTGAGGACTTTACTCCCGTCTTCAATATAGGTTACTGCCGGTGAATATAAGTACCCTAACTCACACAAGCCTCATTATTAAAGTGATAGGTATACATAGTTTAAATCACCTTCTTAGGCGTCCGGTACCAACAGTCATATACTGAGCTGCCGGACACCGGTCCGTCAGTGAAAAATGGTCATCTTAACACATCATCTTATAGATGCAGTTCATTTTTCCAGTTATTAAAAAAATTGGGTTTAGAAAAATTCCTCCAGTTCAAAAAAATAGTTGGTTGTAAGGAATTCGATAAATCCTCTTACCGGATAACGAAGGTAGATTTCCGCGGAGAGAAGACTATTGGATTGTGCTAAGTTGTCCTCGGCTCACCAACCTGCGACCAAATTAATTGTCTCTACTGTGACGGACATCATTAGGGTGAGAATCCATACTTTACGATATAGCACAAAAATATACTAAACCAAAATAAAAAGTGGCCGGCTTCAAATAGTCATTTTTTTATAAATCTCTCCTCGCGATGTTAATGAGGCATCTCACAATTTGGTTGGCTACCTCAAACCTACTTTTCATGTTTGCAGATGAGCAAAGTTGATTCATGGGTGAGGTGGCAGCAGTTTCATTGCCTAAATAAACTAGAGTAGGATCCTCTAATGCTGATTCGTGTTTAGGTATGTGTTAATGTTTGTGTGCATGTAATGTTCATGTCATGAGTGGTATGACAGCCCTAACTAGATCAGGGTGCTATAAGGTTTTGTGTTCATGTGATAAGGCCTTTGTGAGGGAGACCCACCGACCTATCCAGAAGAGAATGTGAACACAAATCTATGGGTCCAAAAATCTTAACTCGCTGAACACATGACAAATACTGGACACTTGATGGACTGGTCAAAACACAACCTTTGGCTGGTTACGGAAACTTCACATAAAGCATAAGATTGGGGAGTTTATAGAACTCAAAAAAACAGCGATCACCCTGAACAGGAGGAACGAGAGCAGGCAATTGGGTATGAACTATTTGCGGCTGCTGGATAGGCTTAAGGAGAAGAAGAGAGGAGGACGGGAAGATCAATTGAGATTTGATGAGGCGTCTAAGGAAAAAAGGTCTCTCCGAACTTACATCGTTGTGCAGGAAAGTCGTTTTTATCAAAGATGATGTATTTTTCACTATCGGCCTAATACGGACATTTTTTTACGTCTAGGATTTTTAGCAAGGTATGCATTTTGGATACTCAATCGAAGATATTCAACGAAATCATTATAATAACAAAGGCTTTATTCACCATATTTAATTTAGGCTGAAATTTCCCATAATCATATGAGTAAGCCTCGTGTCTTCATTGAATTTCCCATAGCCTTAGTTCTCATCCAAGATGGACTTCAGTTTCGATCTCGCGTAGTTCTTATCAGCACCACAGCTGGACTTGAATACTGGTTGTGGTAATGGAGCATGTAATTTCGACAGTATAACCACTACACCACACTGCCACAAGTGCACTCGGGTTACAGAGCAAAAGTAAATTTCAAGGAAGCCTAGAACTTTCCCATATCACATTTCTGTATAAAAATTGTCGACAAAGCAAATGCGTATTTGATAAAGCAATCGACTACATATTTTTCACTTCATAAGTAGGTTATCGAAGATCTATATTCACCCTATTTCGTTAAAGACGATGAAGGAATGATACTTAAATATTTCGACAATGGTATGAGTACACGAAAATTTATTGATATAGTAGATTGCCGTAGCAACTAAAGCTTTACTTCGTCGACAATCCTACCATATAAATTCAATATGGGAAAGGCATAAACTTCCTTGAAATTCACATCTGCTCTGTGACTCAAGTGCATTCGTAGCGGTGTGGCATTGTGATTAACTTGCCGAGATTATAGGCTTCACTACCACGACCCGGATTTGAGTCCCGCTGGGGGTACCGATTGGAACAGTTCAGATGAGGTCGAAACTGAAGTTTACTTTAGCCAGAATAAGAATACCTTTTGGAAAGGAAGGAAACGTAAATTCTGAGCATGAGAAGAAGGCTGGAATAACCCCGAGTCTGGTTAGGACTATCACACTTCCCATGACATGAGCATAACACACAAACAGTAAACAATAGTACAAACACATGCATGAGTCAACATTAGAGGATCGTAGGCAAGTTTATTTGTGTAAGGAAACAGCTGCAACCGAATCCATTCCCTGTTCATGAATTAACTTCACTCAACTACAAGCACCTCAAACAATGAGGTGCTCGATTAACCTCAAATAGAAAGGCTTATAAAGAGTAACCAGAATTGCAGCCGGATACTTTTTTTTCTTTGGTTTAGTATATTTTGCACTATTTCGTAAGGTATGGATTCTAGCCCTGAAAATGTCTGTCACCGTACAGACAAAAGCTTAGAACAGGTTCATCGGCTGGCAGGAAGGTGAGCAGAGAACTACTTCGAACAATACAACTGTTTTCAATCCGCGGCAATCCTCTTTCAGTTTCTGGTGAGATTACAAATTGCTTCCAGCCAACTTTTAAATCGAAATAGAAAGTCATTACACAATACTTGTCAATCTGAGTGAGCACGTACTTGAGTCACCTAGGCCATTCTGCTTGTTCCCTATCGGATGCAGGCCGCAGGAGAAGGTTATAAGGCCGTCTGCTGCCAGCTTCTTGACATGTTGTAAGTTTGGCAAACCAGATCGAGCCTTCCCAGTGGATAAATGCATGAATTTATCTGATCTGTGCTTGATAGGAGATACATAGCAATTAATTTCCGATAAATTGGACTTAGCGAAATTGTGTTTGGCAAATTTTTTTGTCATCACGGCAGGATCTTTGAGAAGGTGAGTTAGTTGTTTAGGTGATGGAACTTTGTCCCAGTCGAAAAGAAGACCGGGCAGAACGAGCCCACGAATAAATCGATCCAGATTGTCTTTAAAGGGCTCATAGCGGTGCGAGCAGTCCAAAGAAGGCCTGATCAAAAGAAGATAAGAAAATATATTCATCGTTTTGGATGAAAGTCAGATTGAATAATAGCAACTTCGTTGACTAATCCCATCATTGTAAGGCAAAATAAGGATTAAAATAGATATAGGTATATAGCAAGTTGCATAATATTTCAAGACTACTTACTAAGAAATGCAAGTATAATGGATATATCAACGTATTCCTCTCTAAGTTCTCATCAGCATTTGCAGCTGAATGGGAATTAAGAGTGGGCAGATGTGGAGAAAAGCGCATAACCACATTGACCAAGCAAAAACGAGTTACAGGACATCCATGATCTTAAGAAAAGGCATATAAATATGGAAAATAAAAACGAACATTTCCATAAAACCGCTAATCTTATTCACTTTATCCCAAAAGAGTTTGTGCTGTCTGAGTATGATGAGGAAGAGTCGCAGTCACTCATCTTCCAGGAATTATCTGAAGGCTGGATGGTGTGGGCCGATTCTTTTGATTCCTCCGGCCTAAGTAGACGAGCACCATTGGGACTTGGTGCATTTTCGAGGAATGAGAAACTATCATCATCGACACAAATAGCCGGCGCACAAGAGATAACTGGGTCGCGGTGACAACTGGAAGATCGAGGTCCTAGTCTACGTCCATTTCTCGCGCTAGGGATCCGATTGAATCGGCTAGAAGATAAAGCAGAATCTAAAGTAGACTCTGATGGTACAGGCAGTGGAGTTGGGGAAAAACATGAATCAGCAAAGGTGAAGAATTCAGATAAGCCGGACTCGAGATCATCCCGATAGTGGCCGAATATCAGCTGGCTGTTCTGAAAGTGAGTAGAAATTAGACAAGGTATGACACAAATAAGACAAAGAAAGTGCAGCTAAATGTGCAAAAATTGATATAGAGAACAAAATAACTAGTAAATGTGGTTGATATTAGCATAAACACAAAAATGCCGATTTATGAGTGAGTGAAGCTCACTGTACATTTTATTCAAGGGGAGTTACGGTAAAGGCCAAAATGAAATTATATGTAAAGAGTACCAGCATTTGCCCTGAAGACATCTGATCTAAGGGGTTGAGACAGAGCTAGACCAAAGTCGACCTTTGGAATTCCAAGTGGTTATCTCATCAGCTTCAGTTGTAAAAAATGTAATGTAATCTTTTCTTTGCCAACCAATGAGCCGTTTTTAAGTAGTCAAAAAAAGTTTAAGAAGTGGTTAAACTATCAGAAGATGACTTTAATGATTGAATTGAGAAGGCCTCACAATGCCAGTGAATTTCACTGAGCTTTGCCCCCCAAAAGGCTATTATATCATGACCAAATTTCAAGTTAAAACCAACCCAGGACCAAATTCGAAGCCGAAGCAACAAATCCCTTCAGTCCGACTACAAATGTGAATTAAGAAATGCCTTTATCGCCCAGAAGTTCAAGTCTGGCCAGTGGCTCACTGGAACCTTTGGTCATGTGACGGTGTCGAAGTGATGCCAAAACATGATTTAGAATCCTATTACAAGATGGGTTAAAAAACAGTCCAGCATGGACTAAAAATCATTTTTGAGGCAAAGCTAAGTAAAGATTAATGGAATAAGGAAACTTTCAATTAATTTTGTTTTATGAAATTCAATTATCAGGCCTTTTATCATCTAAGACTACATGATGGCACCTAAGTCGACCTATTCGACAACTAACAAATTTAGATTATAGAGGCACTATCTTGTGGTCTTCGAATTCACCTGATTGCGAACGAATATATAATGTTTAGGGCTTCTATAGAAAAAATTAAAGAGTAGCTACTTCCGATCTGAATTTTAATAAAAATGTGAATATTAAATTTAACGAAACCAATTAGATTGCCTAAAAATAACTCAAACAGTGCGAAGGTAAGAAATGTTCATATATTTACTTAAAAAACTTAAATCTAGAAAAAATCAACCTATGGACAAGTTTACACTGACTTAGTTCTCAGTAGCTTTGCTAAGCGTGGTTATTAACTATGATTCATTTAGAAGTTGTTTGACCTTGTTTTCGAAACATGGTCATATTGGTAGGAAGACTCAGCGGAACGCACCTAGTCCGGAGTCCATTGTCTGCATGATCATTTCCAAAGTTGAACCGTGGACGTGGTAAAT